TCCGTCCCCCATGGAATCATGGCAAGATGGAGAGGGAGAAAAACGACTCTGTGTCTGTGTGCCTTCATGCGTGTGTACATGTGTGTACGTGCGTGTGAGTGAAAAGGGGATGATCAATGAAACATCATCGACTATATGTTATCTATCCTCTAAACCAGTGTTTCCCAAACTAGGGGTCACAACCTGATTTGAAAATGAGGTCGCGAGAGAAAGTCTTGAAAAAAATAAAATAATGCTTGGTTCATAGAGCCGGGGTTACATCAGTAACCTCCGGTAGCCGCTAGATGCGGTTGTAATAAACAGAGCGGTTTCTGTTTTCTTCCTACAAATGTGGCTCTATCTTTTGAATGGTTTAACCTTTTACTGTAGTGGGCTAAATCAGGGCCACACAGAGTGATTCTTGGTAGTCTTAAACAAATCCACTTTGAAACAAAAGTATACACCTCACACACATGGTTATGGGCTTAAAAAACAGAAGACACCTATACCATGTCAGATATAGAGTTGAAATGTATTCAATTCTTTGTTTGCATCCCAATATTACACGTTATATACATCATAAAATACTGAAATATAACAAAACTGTTTGTCGTAAAAAGATAAATAAATCTTTATTCATTATTCATTATGAAAAATATGAATAACATTCCACCCATGAGGCCAAAGAGGGTGCTTTTGGTAATTGACTGCAGAAAAGAGCTACGATCCAAAATATTATGACCCCATTACTGAAAGAACACTCTCTGTTTCCCTCTACAATGCCAACAAACCAATGATGATGTTCTTTTTTACACAGAAGATCATACAAAATTATTGCCTGAATACTTCCCAGTACCTTTCTGATGCATTTAAATACTGTCAAAAGTACAGTCAGACTGATTTGTAATAGACTGTCATAGCCCCAATTAAAAAAGTAAACATCGGTCGTTGATTACATCACTTTTTTTACATGGTGGGGTTGGCCATTTTTTTATAGATAAAAATGGGGTCGCGGCCCAAAAACGTTTTGGAACCCCTGCCTAAACCCTTTGGATGCTTTTCTTTCAGGCATGGTAGCATTTTTTCTGAATATGTTTTCTGTATAGTGCAAATTCCAGACATTACTGGTTCACACCTGATTGAACAGTGCAGTTTTTCATTAGTCATGTGCTCCATCTAAGGTAGACAAAAAAGGGGACATTCGTGATGCAGCTTTCAAAGGTCTAATGAATCAAGCTAAAATCTGCATTGAACTGGGGTCATGGCCAGTTTAGGACTTGGGTGTGAGCATATCTTTATTTAAATGTTTTTTTGGTACTTTTTACTTTTTTTCCCCAATTCGTAGTTACAGTCTTGTCTCATCGCTGCAACTCCCGTACAGACTCGGAAGAGGCGAAGGTCGAGAGCCATGCATCCTCCGAAACACGACCCTGCCAAGCCGCACTGCTCGCTTAACCCGGAAGCCAGCCGCACCAATGTGTCGGAGGAAACACTGTCCAACTGGCGACCGAAGTCAGCGTGCATGCGCCCGGCCCGCCACAAGGAGTCACTAGAGCGCGATGGGACAAGGACATCCCGGCCGGCCAAACCCTCCCCTAACCTGGACGACGCTGGGCCAATTGTGTGCCGCCTCATGGGTCTCCCGGTCGCGGCTGGCTGCGACACAGCCCAGGATCGAACCCGGGTCTGTAGTGACGCCTCAAGCACTGCAATGCAGTGCCTTAGACCGCTGCGCCACTCGGGAGGCCGGACTGAGCATCTCTACAATAGTGACAGATAGGGCTGTTTGGCTGTAGGATTTCCAATCAAACTGTAAGCTTTAAAGGGGAAATCAGCTGTTGAATCACAAATCGGTTTCCCCGCCCCTGTTTCGGTAAAAAGCTGAAGGTTGGGTCTGGAGAAATGCAACCACTCTCAAGTTCATAGACAGAGCTATGGATGCAAGAACTGACCATCCATGATATAAAAAATTATAGTTTTAACCATGTTTTGAGGCTATAGTGTTAGTTTACATTTATTTGTTTACTAACATTGGAGCAAAACAAGCCTATACTTTGGGTTCTGATCGGGTATGACAGTTTAATTAAGCTTATGAGGCAGTAATAAGTTATATTATTCAAGAATCAATGGGTACATATCATTAAATTATAAGTCTAAAAATGGATGTCTCAACTGCGGATTGCCCCTTTAAAGTCTTGAACTTAACAAGTTATTTGACATATTCTAAACATGTTTGTTTAATAACACAACATTTCTCTTCAGTAAGTTATTCTGAGAAGGGATGGTTTTAAAGGAACTCGGGGAGTCATGGTTACAGGCTATTAAGTCTGACCGGCACTAAGAAGAGTACAATATAGACAGATACTCTGTATGTTACCCCGTTACCCTAGAAATGGGGAGCACTGGACAGAGAAAGTCTAGGCCCATTAACTTGGTGTAACAATGTTAAGATTCTCTAGCACAACTGGAGAAAAACCCTCAGAATCGCCTTACACACGTGTGGATCCACTGTCAAAGATGTGTCAAATATGACATATATATATACAGTATGTGGGACAGGCCCTGCCCTAGGCATAAGCGACATTGCCTAGTTACAGTTTTGACTTAAATCGGCTTGGAAATCTATGGCAAGACTTTAAAATGGCTGTCTAGCAATTATCAACAACCAACTTGACAGAGCTTGACATTTTTTTTAACGAATAATGTGCAAATAATGTGCAAATATTGTACAATCCAGGTGTGCAAAGCTCTTAGAGATTTAGCTAGAAAGACTTACATCTGTAATCGCTATTTCAAATTCAATAAATGTGCAAAAATTCTAAAAACATTTATTAACTTTGTCATTATGGGGTATTGTGTGTAGATGGGTGCGAAAAAAAAAAAAAATATATTGAATCCATTTTGAATTCAGCCTGTAACAACAAAATGTGGAATAAGTCAAGGGGTATGAATACTTTCTGAAGGCACTGTATGAGTATTTACAATCCCCTTCTCCAAATGGATGACTAATTTACCTAGCTCTTATGAATAGCTCTTATCAATGTATAAATTACAGTGTATGGAGAATGCTGTTATTTCAAGGTCAGAATACGGTGTATCTGTAGACACACCTCTGCCACACCTTCATTTATTTGATCTCCACCCTGAACGAATTGCGGTTGAATAGCATGCTATTCTCATGCTTAGGTTCAAGGTCAGAATATGCACAGAGAGAAAAATGCATAAAAAGGGAATTGCCTTCCATTTACCCGCACTTAACTTGAGTCGTAATTCCCCCCCATGTGAATAGGCAGGCAGATCAAACGGCTGACAACAGTAGCCAGGCTAATTGTAAACATGCTGGAGAGCTCAATAAAGGGAGAGCTTTAAAGGGGATTAACAATACGGTGCTCATGTCTTCTGCACCACCATCGGCCACTTCCATCCCTGCTTATGATCACTGTCAGATCCTTGTGTTGAAAGGATGGTGGATGGTGGGGGTCTGTTCACTTTCAGCCCCTGAGCCTGGAGACATGCAAGTGTTTGGGCTTAATTACTATTGTCCCAGATGTTTCTCTGCCTCTGTTGTGTTGTGAGGCACGGTGGGGGTTTATACTGGTACTGCAGTCTATCTCATCAACCCATCAGGACTCATTGGACTTCTCCTCAGCTCAACAGATACTCATCTACTGCACTGTACTGTATATGCAGTAGGAATCAAAAGGTGTACAGCAGGATTTCGATCTTAAACATGTCCCGTCCCGCCCCCCCCCCCCCCCCCCCCCCCAGGTTTCCGTGAGAGTGCCTTTGCATACGCCATCGCAGCGGCGGGCGTGGTCCACGCCGTGTCCAACGCCTGCTCCATGGGGAAGCTGAAGGCGTGCGGCTGTGACGAGAAGCGGAGAGGCGACGAGGAGGCCTTCCGCATCAAACTGAACCGGCTGCAGCTGGAGGCCATCCACCGCGGGAAGGGCATGGTGCACGGTGTCATGGAGCACTTCCCTGCAGACCTGCCCGGGCCTCAGGACTCCTGGGAGTGGGGAGGCTGCAGCCCCGATGTGGACTTTGGGGAGAAGTTCTCTCGGGACTTCCTGGATTCGCGTGAGACCTACAAGGACATCCATGCCAGGATGAGGCTCCACAACAACAGAGTTGGCAGGCAGGTGAGAGGAGGCGTTTCAGCTACTGAAGTGGGCTGTTTGGGGGTGGTGGGTGGGGGGAGTTATGACTGTGCAGAGGGGTACAGCTCTCTTCTCTCTAAAGAAAATACTATTTGAGAAGGTCCGGTCACACAAAGGTGGCAAGGTCCGGTGGCAAGGTCCGAATGCGTAGTAACAAAACCCCACCTCGCAACCGATGCGATCCCAAACTGTTCAAACTGTTCACACCCCTCTTGTTGGCAGAGAGAACATTTCCTGCAATTCTACACATTTTGCCATGTCTTATGTGGGTTCATATGATACCAGGGGTCGAAGCCCGACTGAGTTCAAATGTTTTATTTATTTTTTAGTTGGGATCCGCGGTCCGTATTGACCCCGTTCTCTGGGTCCGGATCCAGCCTGTGGTCCACCTGTTGAGAATGGGGACTTAGTGTGTGGGGGCCCATAGGGCTATGGTCAAAAGCAGTGCACTTAGATCGCCATTTGGGACACATTCTTAGTTCACTGAGGAGTTTTTTATGGAAAAGACACATTAATGCAGGTACAAAATGAAAGGATTACGACTCGAGTCCTAATGATAACGTCATTTTGAGGCACACGCTCTGATTTTATCGGCTCAGTGTCAGTAGTGACCTATCAAATACAGATTACTCACTGATTTCTCCACATGATGCAATTGCCTTGCATGTGTGGTCTCTTTGAGTCAGGCTTCCTCTCTCACTTAGTTTGTAATCAGGCTGTTGTAGCAATACAATAACAACCATGGAAGCAGCTGAATATGTTGTTTGAAAGTACTCATAGTTTTAGTATGGTTTATCAGATATCAATATAGGAAATCGTTAATGGATTGATATGAAATAAATGTCATAGCTGACATTTATTGGCAAAGTTGGTGTCGTCACCACCCCTCACCATATACATTTTCCTATCATTATTACATTTCAAAGCAAGATGCCTCCTTATGCTTTTTGTGGATGTCATAGCCAGAACTCCTGTCCAAGCAACTGTGATCTTGCAATTTTGTCACGCCCTGGCTCTGGGGACTCTCGTATGTTGAGCCAGGGTGTTAATTTCTAGGTTTTGTAATTCTATGTTGGCCAGGGTGGCTCCCAATCAGAGACGGCTGTAGCTCGTTGTCTCTGATTGGGAGCCATACTTAGGTAGCCGTTAGGCATTCATTTGGTGTGGTTTCTTGTTCCGTGTTGGTTGGTGTATGTAACCAGGGACGTCACGTTATCGTTTTGTTGTTTTGTTCGTGTGATCATTATTTAATAAATATGTTCGCATTCCACGCTGCGCCTTGGTCCTCTGTTCCCGACGATCGTGACAAATTTATGCATGCTCAATTTAATCTACTTATGTGTTCCTATGGGCAGTGTAGCATTTGGCTAATAAAGAAGCTTGGTTATGATGGCCATAAAGCAGTGGTCTGGAATTCGAACGTAAACATCAACAATTTCCTTCTAAAAAAACATGGTTATCCTTAACTGTAGTTTTCTTTGGTTGATGTTATGATACCATAGGTGATCAATTGAATAACATTAGTATGGTATTCCATGGGTATTTTCCCAGCATATAGTTGATTTCATGGACAGATGCTTGAGGTTGCCATGGTATTATTAAATGACAGCGATAAGTTATGGTTGCTCCCAGGCAGCACTGTTGCCATACACAAAAGGAGCAGTAAATTTCACATTGTTCGACGCTTCCTCCTGAGTAATTTGGTCTTGAATCTTTTCATCCGTTTACTTCTGGTTTCCTTGATTATTCAGACAAAACACAAATGTGGAGTTACTCAGCCAAGGAGCGTGAGAGAAAGAGTGAGAGAGAGAGAGAGAGAGAGAGAGAGAGAGAGAGAGAGAGAGAGAGAGAGAGAGAGAGAGAGAGAGAGAGAGAGAGACTCAGATGATTGTCCTGATTTTCATGTGCAGCAGGGCCGGCAATAAAGCCATGCTCTGCCCTACACAGTGACCCATTATTGTGTCCATAGCATAGGTACAATGAGCCATGAAATGATTTGCTTCTTGGCCAGTGATATACTGTAAAATCAGATGACATACATTGAAAAAACTAATATCATTTCCAAATCAACAGTCAGTTTAATTTAATTAAGAATTTCAGAGTTTCTATGTTATGTACTATGAGGCTACTGTTGTTAGTTGGATGACAAGACCGATGATATATGATCAGTGTTACACCCCTTTGTTTTAGGAAGTTGCACTGTTATGACAAAAATATATCAACATTGGGAAGATAGAGAGGCGTAGCTAGCTACTGACTTTTGATCTATTTGACAATCAGGGTGATAAGTTGCAGGGAAGATTCATAGTTTGGGGACATTGAAGCTCTGTTTTTGACAAGAGGCCTATTTGGCAACAATAGCTGGTTGTGCTAGAAAAGTACCTGCTGCTACTGGGAAATGCTTTGAAACTGTCAAAACTGCTTTTGGAGACAGCTTCTTGAAGGAGAGCCAAGAAAACCGGAACTATTAACATACACATTGGTTGAAACAAAAGCTATCCAAGTTGATATCCAAGAACGCTGTCCAACAGTTGCACTTTGTAATTAACAGGAAGATTATCATAAAATGTATTTCAGTATGGCTCAATTACATATTGCTGGAATTTATATGCAGTTTATTGTGAACAGTTTTAACGAACTTAATGTACATTATCTGACCTGTGTTTTGACACAGATTTTGACCAGAGTTGCATTCAAAGCTGCAGAGTCGGTGCATCTGCTAGTCGTCTCTCAGATCAGGTTACACAATGCTCTGGGTATGTGGAGTGCAGTTCTCTTAGCACACCTCATACATCAATGCTTTAATATGTTCTAAGCTGGGAGAAGAAAACAATTGAAGGTACAAATGAAATATACTAAAGCAGACATCAGAGGTACAGTATGACTCATGGAGTTATGCATCGTTAGAAGAACACAGCCAGAGCAGCACCTTGACAACTTCAAACAGAGCAGAAAGCCCCCCCCCCAAATCAAAATGAAAACACTGACAGGTGAGGTCTCAAATAATACCTCCTCCCTCCCCCACCTCCCCCAACCCCTCCCCATAAAAAGGAGCTGTCTTTTGTAGAGGAATGTGGCGGTTTTAGTGGGGTATACATGTCGCCTCATGCCCACCCTCTGGTTGTCACAACGTTCAGTCTTGTTAAAAGCTCTAATTAGTGGCTGTTGGCTCTTTGGAAACAGATGTTTAAACCCAGCAAAAGATTTTAGACATCAAACACGGCGGAAAGTAAAAAGAGATTCGCCCTTCCTTCCCCCCAAATACAAATTTCAGAGAAGTTTATCAGTCATAGAAAAAGGGATATTTTTTTACCAAAGCACATCCCTCTCATTACGACTATTTTCTCTGCATTAATTCTAAGCAAATGTTTAGTAAAATGTACTGTGCAGCAGTGTGTTGTGTATAATTATGTGATGATTGATCGGAACATGGTTTTCGAGGTTACAGTGGCTGTCGATAACATGGAAACATTTGCAAGGGTAGTAAATTCCTTTCGCTAACATTTTCATTGGAATTACTCAATTTGACCTGCACAGCCACAACAAATGCTGGCATTATTTCACATAGCATGTCTGTTTTCCCAGCTACGAGCAATGTGCCTGGATAGTAGATATTAGCTCTCTGCTTTTATGTTGTATATTTTGATTAATGAGGTCTCTCTCTCTCATATGTAGCAGAGCTTATTACACATTGACTGTGCCTTGTGACCAGTTGGTCTTTATAAAGTCTTTATGGTGGCCTGTTGGATCTCCATTAGAGGTGTATAGCATCTAAGGAGAGGGAGCATTCCATTGGGCCAACAGTGGATCAGTTTCACCACCATGGTCTAGGCTCTCACAGGGGCACAACCAAAACAAATGCTCAATACTGTTTAAGGCACAGCATGTGGAAGCTATCGATGTAATAACATTTTATTAGAAGGCCCAAATTGGATCTGTGAATGTTGTGTACAATTAACTGAGAGTAATACTCCACGTGATTGTTGTGTAGCGGACGGTTCTCATTAGGTTGTTACTTTATGATGAAATGATTGTTCAGTGTCAGTTATTGTGTGGCCTCGTTTTAATAATTATTTGATGACGTGTTTGAATTACTTACTTGATGCTGAAAGTTAATGTGTTGTGGGTTTGTTTATATTCTTTGAAATCTTGGCTTTGTGTCCCTTTATGGTTGTTATTACATGTCTTTGAAATGAACTACATAAAGCAGTGTACAATGTTACTTTGTTTGTAGAAACGGACGTTTGAGATTCCAGGACAGATATATCTCCCATAAATATCTAAGTTGTAACCCACAGAATGTAGCAAACTTCATAACTTAACGTCATATTTGCTAAACATTGAGTCATTATAGTACTCTAAATCTCATTAAAGATAGACAACATACCAGTAACAATCCACAAACAAGACAGTCAACAGAAGTAATTTAGGCCATAACATTTTAATAGACTATTCAATAAAAAAAATTATGACACAATAAGGATGATAGGAATAGGGGATTAAGCACGTTGACAATATTAAACAGACACACTATTTGATAGAGGAAGGAACATGGTTTGCGTCCCAAACGGCACCCTATTCCCTATATAGTGCACTAAATAGGGAATAGGATGCCGTTTGGGACTCAGGCATAGCAAAGCGTTTAAGTGCTCTGTACACCATGTAATACCTAGTATTGCCTGTGGTCCTAATCTGCTACCAATATGTCTTATTTGATCTCAGTCTGGGGCTGGTTTATAGAGGAGTCTGTCTCACTCTTCCCCAATTAAAACAGCCCAGATGTGTGTTTTTAACGGTGGTCTGCCAATGAATTTGAGGGCAATTTTTTTTCCTTTGCATAACTACAGTGTTAGTTTATAAGACCTACATATGTAGTCCACAGTTTTCATTGAGACTGACAGTCAAAGGCCTGAGACAGAGGCCTTTGGAGGATATGACCATGTGTAGTTAAACATGAACGTCTCCTCATACATTATAAGAGGGCATTCAAATCGAGACGATACACTAGAAAAAAAAAAGGTTTCTTCGGCTGACCCCACGGGAGAACCCTTTGAAGAATCCTTTTGGGTTCCGTGTAGAACCTAATATGGAAAGGATTCTAAAAGGGTTTCTTTAAAGGGTTCTCCCATGGGGACAGCCAAAGAATCCTTGTATGCAGTTTTCTTCTAAGATGATACTGTTGTAATACCGAGGTACCAGCCTAAATATTGTAAGTATTGTTTGTTTATATCACCGTTTATTTCCTTGTCCATGTTGCTGGGGACATCTGACAGTTACCATGTATAATATGCTTTGTAAACATGATGGAGTATTGTGTGAATACACCATAGAGTGAGACCTGTACAAGACAGGCAGTATTAGCTGTGTAATGAGACCATTGTTAGGCTATGGTTGCATTATACTATATACTGTATATCCCATAGGCCATAGGGCTCTGGTCAAAAGTAGTGCACTATATAGGGAATAGGGCGCCGTTTGGGACGTGGCCTATGAGATGCTAATCACTGGATGGCAGACACAGACATGAGCATCAGATAGTTCCTGTACTCTGCTCTCTGTTCTCCCTCCAGGCCTGTCTAGCCTCTGGGCCTATGAGTGAGATTCTAAAACCCAGTCAGTTCCGCTTCCAAAAGGGCACCATAAATCACTGCCATATCAGCGTCTCTCGTCAGTCAGTCACTTCCAGGAGAGCTCAGCTCGGCAGCGGCTCAAACACTCTTCCTCCCAGTGCCACAGGCACACCCACGTCGACTCAGCTCATGCCCCCAGGTGCACCCTGGGACACGGCGTGGAGGAAAGGGAACAATCTTCCTGATCTGATCATCATCACCGCACTCATGTCAGACCGGGCCACTTATGGTAAGAGCAGGCAGGTCCCATTTCCTAAACTGTGACAGCTCTGAGGTTTTATGCCTGTTTTGGTTTCAGTCATCTCTCGTTTGAGTGTGTCATTTTTGTGTCCCACACTTACAGGCTTCAGGATATTGCTTCATCCAGTTTTTTTGATAGTAAATAAACGTACTAGTTAGACAGTTGATTATGAGAATTAATGAAAACAACTACAGTAAGGATACAATTAGACCGGCCAGTTCAGTGTGTATCTAAAGGGTTAAGTGGGTTACTGTTGTGTAATTACAGGGTGTATATATAGCCAGAAGGATACAGTTCAGGGAAGTAACTTGGTCTGATGTAAAAACGAAGCTTAAAAGGCCTGAAAGTATTTCCCCAGGTTTGTGATGGTGGTCTGATTGGGCTGTGATCGATAGTTGTTAGCTTTGGCCCCAGTGAGATCAAGAGTGTTGTTTCTCTTTCCCTATCATTACTAATGGATGACTCAAGTGGGTCCATTTATCACTCTCCCACTCTACTCATTCACACAGAATAACACTTTCTCTCTATTCAATGGGAACACCTACGAGAGGCCCTGAAATGGAAACCCACAGCACGCAAACCCAAGCCTTAAAGAATTCATGCTCCTCCACAAAGTATATCTTCTTTTGGCAAATGTTCAAAATGACCTTTAGTCTTAGAGTGGCTACGACGATCCCTTGGCTCAAACCATCAGAAGGCTCTGTTTAATGGATCAGAACACAGCTGAATAATAGAGTGGATTTCGACTCGTTTTTACCAAGGGAAAACACGTTTCAGGGTCTCCTCGCTCTTCATCAGATGCTAGCTCAAAACAAAGAAAGAGAAGCCAGCACATGAAATAGTGCAGTTTCATCTCAGCTCGTTTTATTTGTGACTCACTCACATACTGTAGTAGTAGAAACTTAATCCTTTAGCATTCGACAGACTAAACTTGACTACTCTCAAAGTTTTCGAACGTCTTCGTGTGTGTGTGTCCCAGGGCAGCTGCGTAGAGGCCTAGGAGAGAGTAGAATGTGGGAGTGCTGAAGGTGTGTGTTTGTGCTTGTGCTGTTGATAGGGGTGTGTGTAGGAGCATCTGTCAGTGCTGAGGGTGGCCCCTTTTCCTGTTGGTAATTGGATCTAAAAGTGTATAACTCAGGCTGACAGATGAGTGCATTGTTGAGAAAATGGGAGGTCTGGGAGTGTGGGAAGGACATCCTCATTCGGGATGTGAACTTGGCATTGTCTGAAAGAGCACTACTACAGTACAGCTTCGTCGAGTCAGTTATTCCAGGCAAAACATCTCAATAGTAGGCTAGTGCTACCTACATATTTGTGATGCCTGTAATAATTTTTATGCCTAATTAGTTACTCAGCAATATGAAGCATACACACATAGCCCATGTTGGGAGTGGTGGCCAGGATCAAGTGGAAGGGAGTTCCACCACCTTAGAGTGAGAAATAGTTTAAATGAAGTGTATTTCTGTTGAACATTACTGTAGAAAAGTTAAGCCAATCATTTTAGTGACAATTATATGTGATAAATGTTAACAGTTGTGGAATGAAAGAGGAGTCTAATCACAGTCTAGTTGATTTGCCTAATTTGATGAGTGAACATGTGTCCTACTACAGGATGGGATGAAGGAGGATGTTAACGTGCAGTTCCCTGTTCCCCTCTGTGCAGGTGGTGATGGACCACATGAGACGGAAATGCAAATGCCACGGGACATCAGGAAGCTGCCAACTGAAGACCTGCTGGCAAGTCACACCGGAGTTCAGGGTGGTAGGCTCGCTGCTCAAGGAGCATTTCCACATAGCCACCCTCATCAAAGCCCACAACAGGAACACAGGCCAGCTGGAGCACGCCCACCACCCCACACACAGACGCAGATCCAACCTCAACGAGCTGGTCTACTTTGAGAAATCCCCGGACTTCTGCGAGAGGGATTTGCGGTCCGACTCGGCCGGAACGCAAGGGAGGATCTGTAACAAGACGAGTCCAGAGATGGACAACTGTGAAAGCCTCTGCTGCGGGCGAGGCCATAACATCTTACAGCAGACCCGCAGTGAACGATGCAATTGCAAGTTCCACTGGTGCTGTTACGTGGTCTGCGAAGAGTGTCGAATAACAGAGTGGGTCAGTGTCTGCAAATGAAGAAATGCAGAAATGCAATAATATACCTTTTTTAAACAGGGAAAGACTGCAATACACCCATTCCCTTTGCAATGGACTGCCATTTCCATTAGTAGAATGGAACGCACGAAAACAAGACTGGAATATAGCCAGTTCAAAGAGGTGTACAATCAGAGTGTGCACAGCATGTGTCCAACCACCATAGTTCAGAGCATCTGGAGCTGCACTGCCTTTCATCTCAGAAAGTGTTTTTAGATTAAAGATAGTGAAATACTATGGATAATATTGATAACTGAGCACTCATGAATTTAAACTAGGGTTCCGAAAATGACAAATAGCTGATTTTTTTATCTATAGATGTAAAACAACTGCCTGGGTTTCCGGTAATTTAAGAAGAAGAAGAAGAAGAAGAAGAAGAAGAAGAAGAAGAAGAAGAAGAAGAAGAAGAAGAAGAAGAAGAAGAAGAAGAAGAAGAAGAAGAAGAAGAAGAAGAAGAAGAAGAAGAAGAAGAAGAAAACTAACAGCAGATATAGGAAAGAAAGAGGTTGTTCCAGAATGTCATGTCTGCTCTTGCTCTATACTCTCTATACTCAGAGCCACAAGTTAACGATGTTAACTCATATGGGTTGTTTTGTAATGTTTCAGGTTACAAAATGTGCCAATTCTATATGTCAATCTGCAAAATGGCTACCATGTGCCTCAATAAAGTATATTTGTCCATACTGGTAAAAAGAAAGGAAATGTGGACTATGTTGACGGTTGTGGGTGTTCTCTTGCAAGGATGGAGTTGTGAAGACAGAGGATCAAGTTATAGAGACATGAGTAGTTATACAGAATGGACATCAGAAACAGCCTGAGGGCAATGGTGGAGCTGAGACAATGAAAAGACTGGGCCAATTGGTCTGTGCTGCTCTTGGTACAGTTAGTAGTTGCAAACTCTGGTAATCTATAGCCCTACCTTTATACTACTAACTGTTACGATATAGTCAATGTAATAAAGCACTACAATTAGCTCATAGGTTTGACTCAGTTAAGTTTAAATGTTATAAAACTATCGTAAAACCACCATTAGAGTTTGTGCAGATGAATGGTTAAAACTCAATGCAAATATAAGGTTGTATATATCCTTGCTTGCCAATAGGTCCATTGTTTGTCTGTGTTGTGTGTTTTATTATGAAAATGTTATTTCCCCATAGAATATATGAAAATGCATTTCATCAAAGACCTTGTCAGTCAGGGAAATGTATTATGAGCAAACACATTGTGTCTGTGTTAAAAAGACTGATAATGTGTTACTGGTATATTGGCACAGATTATTTTGATGCAGATTAGTAGTTTGCACATGCATTTTGTTCTGGAGAACTTGTATTTTGGGGATATAACATAGCTATATGCAATTTGTTATAAATGTATTATTTTTCATGTTCGATGGTCATGGTTATTTTCTAAGTTATTTTATTTTTGTGGATAACTTAATATTTGTGAAACAATAAATAACTAAGTATAAAAGGGACTTTAATGTGATGAAAAATGAGAAAAGTACATTTGTTAAAATAAATAAAGTGTAAAAGTATATCTTGTCATGAGTCAGCAGGTTTACCGGCAATGCGCATCATCACGACTTGTTTGCCTTCCATATATGTTGTTTGCGTGCAGCACCACTGTGGCATCCTGGTTTAGTGATCCATTCTCAGTTCCCTAGTGTAGGATGAAGTTACCAAGTCAAGTGTAAGAATGTGAGAGATATGCTTTCAAAGTAAATAGATGTGCACTATTAATGTGCAAAGTCATACAGACCTATTCTTATCTAAACATACAAGCTGAGAAGAAAAGCTCTCCCTCTTTCCTGTGCTATACTAGTAGTATGGCATCCAGTCCAACTTTCAGTGCATTTTTGCCCTGGTGAGGACTGCTTGCACTGTGAGAACATGGTGTGCCTCAAAACCCTAGGTTGACGTTTGACATGTAGCTTTTGCCAACCACACAGAGATATCCCCAGGCCTTTTGTCAGTCTACAGCGAGCCTCATCAGCAGCCAAATTGCAGCGAGCTGATCATTTCAGCCTTATATAAACAGGCAGAAAATGTACAAACAGTACATGTAGAAGATGATTTTAAGCTTCGCTTTGATAATTCCTTTTGTCTCTTTTTCTTTAAAAAAATAACCTGTGACTTTAACATTTGAATCATGAATAGGTATAATCATCCAGATAAATACTTGGTAAATATCAAATGACAAAGAAATGGACAGCAATCAATCATTGGTACTAACTGGTGCATGCATTCAGGTCTGGACTTGTGCAGTTTATTAGAATAGTATCTCCTATTGGTCTTGAGAGTATATCCCAAAGTTATTCTAAACGGAAGTACCTAACATTAATTTGGTGATTGAGATTTATATTTTTGATCCCGTTGCATGGACTGGCAGATGTGGTATACACCTCTTTTATACAAAAAACAAACATTCTGATGCTGCAATAATTAGTCGAGAACACACTGGACCTACAGTAAACACATACTCATCTTTGCACAAATAAATTATCCAGTAGTGCACACTCTCCAGCCTATTCCAATGAAATAGCAGAAAAACCTTCAATAGCATTTTAATCAGTGTTTTTAAACATCAGAAAACACTGCTGCCCGATGTCTGACCTTGGTGTATAGAACCTACATGCCCTGAATTAAAAACCATGAACTGTGTCACCAACCATATATTTAAAGAGTCTGCAAACTTAGGTGACCAAAAAGGTAAGCAACCGAAAATGCTAGTACATTACTCTCCGCAAACAAGCGTTGCTCCTGGTGGTGTTAACGACAGCAGGAAAAGCCAGTAGCCATAAAGAAGGGCAGAGGAGAGTAGCGCAGACCTCAGAGCTAGCAGATGGAAAACAGGCAGTGCATTGCCAAAGCCTGACGTGAAATAAAAGTTCTCTGTGCATATTTTTCCAAGGGTGGATCGCGTAAAGCAGATCCGAGGGACCAGTCCATACAAGCAAGGTACCAAACCGAGAGAGTATTGACAACACGTGAACTTCTGAGCGACACAGTTTTTATTGCGAGAAGAAATAAGTCATTGTGATTTTCTTTGTTGAACACAAACACACAGTGAAGTCCAGAGTCAATAACCATAGCATGTCTATTGAAAGGGTTACATGATTCATTCATGCTTGTTTGACCATAAACTAAGGAGGAATTGTTATCACAAGAGACCCATTTTAAACTTGTTCTTCTAATTAGATGTCGACAAACAGTGATGAACTTTGACATTATTTTTGGCACGAAGGCCACACGTGAGTGCTGTTACAGGCATAGGATTACTGGTCTGTTTGACATGTCTGACATGAGCAAGCTCTGCTGAAGGCTGACAAATTATGAACATACATTATTGTTTTATTAGAATCCTTTAGAAAATGTAACCATTTCTCTCATGATTAGACAACCAGTGCCCACCATATCTGAGCACAGGTACGGTGTCCATATTATGACAGCCTCAGTAAACTCCTGCTGAGACTAAGGCTGTCCTAATATGGACACCGTACCAACGTACGGTACCGTGACTACAGTGAAAGAGGAGATCAAGGGGCAGTAGTGTTCCCTCTGCTCCTTGCTATCAGTACCATTAATCTGGGGAAGGGCTTAGTGATTACCAGACCCATTGTTTACAGACACCCTTCCTATGGGCGGTCAGCCTGTGGTCCTGTCTGTGTGGCTGTACGGGGCCACGGGCCACCTCCTCTAGAGACCCATATATGTTCGTAAAGGAATGAAGGGAAACATTCGTTGTGCCACTTTTTGATAATAGTCTTCAAAATTGGCTACTCCAGTGGCACAATGGTTAATCACAGATTAAGGTTGCAAAATTCCGGTAGATTACCCAAAATTCCCAGGTTTTCCAGAAATCTTGTCTGAATCTTCAAAAAAACTTGGAACCCTATCACAACCCTATCACAGATCAAGCTCATAAGTAACAATGGGAAATAAAACGTTTGTTTGCCTGGGGATGTCTTGACATTGGAAAATATGATGCCCCATTGAGTTACATGGAACCCTCCCAGCAAACATGAGTGGGCTGTAGGTTGCTTATAAATGGGCTGTAAGTTGCTTGTAAATGGACCATATGAACAATCCATAGTTGAAACTCAATCCCTGCAAACAATGAGCCGTTAGGACGTCACAAAATGGTTGCCTGAAGTCTTCAGTACGTTGTGTCATGGTCCCCTGGAAGGTTTGTCTAGTTCCCAGTTGGTCCCAGGGAAAGTTTTAGGATGTTGTGTCATGGTCCCCTGGAGGTTGTGTCTAGTTCCCGGTTGGTCCCAGGGACGTCACCTGTTGGCCGCAAAGAAACGTTCTCCCTACCAAGGCACGCGCACCCTAGTTTCATTACACATTACCCCTTGTTACTGTTGCCAAGCCCATCAAGGCCCTGATTGGTGAACCGCTGATCCAGTCACAGCTCTTGGTCTTTTGGCAATGTTAGGGACACCCACACACACAGTGCTTTTAAAATATAGTGTTTTCAACTTACATATTTGACACACATGATTACATTGTGTATGTTTATTCATATAGTAATTATTATTTAACATTTCCTCACCTGGAATTTGAACTCACAACCTCTTGTTCACAGCATTCTAATCTTCCTGCTACGCCACCATGTCTGAATCAATGACTGATTTCACCTGTAGGCCTATTCCTATACTTTACACTTCAAAGTAAATCTCAGCGCTGTTAAAAATATTATATTTATCGTAGTAATTCAGGAGTTAACATTAAAACAGAATAATATTCCCCACCAACATTAGACAATTATACTGAAAACCCAAACTCAAAGTGCTGAAATAAGTAAATTAAATTGATGAGAGAATAGTCAGATTAACTGATATCTAAAATAGCAACGCAGTTGGCAGAGATGTATTATAGGCAATGAATGTGTAGGGAACTTCCAAAATTCTACAGACTTTGTGGCGCAGCAGAAAGAACAGCATACCCCAAATGCAGAAGTTATGAGTTTAAATCACAGGTGAGGTCATATAGAAAAGTCAGTAATGATCATGTCAAATGTAATTCTCATTGATTAGAGATATTTTACACTATGTTAGCTGAACATCGTACCATGTACCTTAAAATGCCCACTACCATTTAATTACCTTACTTATAATGGTTTGGGACACCTGGGACCATCAGGTGACAAAAACCTCCAGGGGTCCATGACAAAACATCCCAAGAACGTCCTAAAAACGTCCCCGGCTCAAACCGGGAACTATAAAATGGTCCCCTAGAGAACGTTCCCTTGGGGCCATCATGCGACGTCCTAAGGACTAGTAAAATAAAAGTCCTGAGAATGTCCTAAAAAGGTTATAAAAGGTCCTCAGTGACAT